GCCCCATTTTCCTACTTCCCCAACGTGTAATACGCGAAAAAAACTTTGTTAATAATAACAAAAAATTGTAATAGTAAACAGTGTATTTTATTATAAAGAATTTTCGTTTTTCTACTGCTCCGTACTTCGTGTGCTCCGTGCTCCGTGTGCTCCGTACTCCGTGTGCTCCGTGCTCCGTGTGCTCCGTGTGCTCCGTGCTCCGTGTTTTACTAATAGCCTGGCAGGACTGGGCTTTGGCGAGAGAATATGATGTTGACATTGAGAAGTACGTATCCAATTTTGTCATGCTAATAATAAACAAGTAATCATGCGATGTTGCTCGTACAATTAGGGATGATTACCTATACTAATTGTCCTAATTGAGTTGTACTGTGTAAATCAAGCACGGCACAACTCGCTTATATCAATTATCGTAGGTGGGTTGTGTGCTTGATTTACACAGTAGCTACAAGTACAACTCAAAACATTTTCCTCATCAGAATGGATGCTAGATAAACTACGTTTAGCCAAAGCATTAAAAGACATTAAAGACTAGATTACTCACCAAGTATTGACCTATTTGCCTCAAGAATTAATAAACAATTTGATACATATGTTTCATACAGACCAGACCCACAGGCGTCAGCAGTAGATGCATTTACTCTAAGACCCCGTTTACACGGTACCGGACGAATATGTGACCGGTCTGAAATTCGTCCGTTTCGGCCGTGTAAACACATGCACGAGAACCACAGAACCGGACGAATTTGAGACCCCCTAACAGGACGAATTCGCGTGTAAACACGCGAAAAAGGACGAATTTCAGACCGGTCCCAAATTCGTCCGGTACCGTGTAAACGGGGTCTAACATGGAGCTCGCTCATGTTTTATGCTTTTCCTCCCTTCAGTCTTATAGGGACTGTTTTAAGCAAGATCAAGAAAGACAAAGCAAGGGGGGTGGTTGTGCTACCAAATTGGCCAACACAACCTTGGTATGCGAAAGCCCTTCTCATGGGGGAAAAACCACCCATACATTTCCAAGCGTCAAAAGATCTATTGATTCTTCCCAGCCATCCAAACGAGACACATCCATTGTTCAAAAAACTGTCAATGATGATTTGCCTCTTATCCGGGAAAGTTTTAATAGAGCTCCAAGATCTGTCAGAGTCCACGAAAGAAATCATAATGGCTTCTTGGCGTAAAGGCACTCAGAAACAATATAAATCATACCTTTTACGATGGGAGGAATATTGTAATCGAGAAAATGTTGCACCTCACAATCCTGGGAAAGCATATGCTATCGAATTTCTTAGGGAACTATATGATTCAGGTGTAGGATATTGTGCTATAAACACAGCGCGATCAGCACTATCGTCCGCAGTCAGTGATAATACCCACGGTAGGGATTCCATTTGGAAAGGACACTTTAGTTTGCCGGTTTCTAAAAGGGGTATTTGAACTGAAACCTTGCCTCCCAAAATACGCTGAAATTTGGGATGTAAATAAAGTTATTTGTTACCTACAACAGTTTACTTCAGTTTCTAAAGTCAGTTTAAAAGATCTTACAATGAATCTTGCCACTTTATTGTGTTTACTAACGGGACAAAGGTGTCAAGCCGCACAAGATAGATATGAACTTCATCCAATTGGAAACGGACAAATGCATTATTACGATTAGAGAAGTTTTAAAACATACTAAGGCTGGTAAACACCAAGTGCTTTTAGAACTTCGTTCGTACCCAAGGGAAAAAAGAGTTTGTGTCTTAGAGTACACCTTAAACGGAATATATCAAACGAACTCATACTGTTCTCAGAGGTGAACAATCAAAACTATTTGTGAGTTTCGTAAAGCCCCATAAAGCGGTAACCAAAGACACCATTGGCATTGCCAGATGGGTCAAATCAATACTACAGCAATTGGGAATTGATACAGATAAATTCACGACTTAATTTAAAACAAATAATGCAATCTGCTGGCTGGTCCAATTCCTCTATACTTTTGCAAAGTTTTTGGTTCAACAATTTTGAAACAAAGTTTTGGTTCAACAATTCTCAACACAGCAGATGTTGAAACAGTAACAACAGTTTAAGTAGTTATAATGTAGTTGGGTTACTAAAACAAATACAATTTTGTTTATTCATTCTTGATGTGTCGGAGTGGGTTCTTCACGGTCGCAGGACTTTGAACTCTCATGTGACTCCGTAACTGATAACGTAGTAGAATTCTAAAATTAAACGAGACTAACCTGTAAGTTGAAGTTTGATTGGGATTGTACTAGTCATCAGTCAGGAACGAAGGAGTCACATGCTCAGGTACTCGGTACCAGGCCCTTCCCTCCCGTGACTCTTCGTTCCTCATTCCTGCAACCGTTCACGTTAAAAACTGATCAGCGAAGCACGCACGCGCTTCTCATGTGACTCCTTCGTTCCTGACTGATGACTAGTAGAATCCCAATCAAACTTCAACTTACAGGGAAGTCTCGTTTAATTTTAGAACTTTCCATGAGTAATTTTCGTAAATTTATATCCGAGCCACTCGCCGTATATTTTCGCTGACTACGAAAACAATTTACCGATAAATCCCGTTATTTTGCCGACAAAACTTTAACACCAACAGACTTGAATTATTAAAATGCTTTCAAACTTTGAAAACTGCGAAAATTTGGTGGCACAAACAATGCGAGAAAACGTCTGCGCAAACACTGCGAAGTGGTGTCAAAGTGTTTGTTCATAGTTACAAATAATTATGGTTTGTTGTATGCCGGGGTCAGCCAGACACACCGGACGCGATTCGACAACGCGACGCAATTTTTCGATTTTCACTGACCGATAACTTTCATCCTAGTTTAAATTTTCGAAGTTGTTTGGTCTACATATCTTTCAAAATTTGCTCTCATAATCTCATTGGCTGTTTTATTAATTTTCAAAAACTAAAAAGTCGCGTCGCGTTGTCGAATCGCGTCCGGTGTGTCTGGACCACTGGTCTGAACCTTAACGTGCATGTCTTTCGTCGGTAAAATTGCGAGCTAAATAATGAATGTGCCAACCTAAAAAGTAGAAATAATCATTGTAGTATACAAGTGCTAGAAATTATGTGTAGTATGCATGAGAATGAAGCAATCAAATGTGTATTAATTAAGCCAGTGAGAGGTAGCGGTAGCAGTAGTGGAAGTCAAATTTGAACCTTTCTCAGTATTCAATCTGCATGTGCCATGTGGCAGAAGCGAACGGAATTGCGGTGCCCAAACGCATGCAGTTTGGTATCGCTTTATGCCTTTATAGTCGCTGCTTGAGTTTGTTAGTCGGCGTTTATAGCCTGTCAATCCCACTGGTCAATCCATATAGTTTGTTCAGAATCATTGTTCAAAAATAATATTTTCGCGCTTCTGGCCATTCGCTTCTTTTTGGCCATGCACCATGTCACCGCACTGTAGTACAATACCTGCATGGTTACTCTTGCCCCGAGCGACATTCCATTCCAAAATTCGAACGGCGCTTGGCTCGCGGATTTATACTGATGATGATCCGAAATTCAGAAAACTTTCCAAATAAATATAATCATGCAGACTAACTACTAGAACATAACATAACAAACCATGAAAAAGTTTTCTTAATGGAAAGAATGCAAGGATGTGAAAGTGTATAAAAAGGCCGCTGGATAGCGACAGAACGATTTTTTTAGTATTCCAAATATATCATGCGCCATAGTGTGGCTTTTAGTTGTTATTGTTGTTAGTAAAGATCACATGCGCCTGCGATCTTGTTCGCGCCTAGGCGACCTTTACTTCGTGTTAGTATACTCTTGTGGCTTGTCTTGGCCTCGTTGTTTTATTCCGATAACATAGTATTAAAGACTACCATTTAAAGTCGTCGTTCTAGCTTCGCTGTCGAGTGCCCTCTTAAACATTGGCGTGGTGGCAGCTTCACGGATTATAAAGAACCCGTAACGTACGAAAAAGTGTACATCAAAGCTTAAATAAGAGGAAAAACTCATCGTATAGATTTACCAGTCAAGCTTTCGACAAACAAAATGGCGGCCGTTCGAGCACCAAAACAATGGTCCCTCACAACGACTGAAACAATAACTTCCATAGAGGCTTGGGAGAACAATTTAAAATACATCCTATCTCTAGACCATAATTTTGCATCGTTCCTCACCGGTGGTGCTACTTGGCTAAAGAAAACCAATGCCTCTCCTCTCCGTGGTTTTAACGACAATGATGAGGGCATTCCCCAGATTCAACGCCGTACCGCTGCGCAAAAGGTGACTCATCTCGAAATGATGCTTGGCCAAATAGCTAACTATGCTCCTGTTATTTCTCGTAATACGATTGTACGAAATTCGACATCCATCAGCGGTGTATGGCAAGCCATTCGACAACATTACGGCCTGCAATCTACTGGTTCCCGCTTCTTATATCTAGCTAATATCAAGGCCAAATTTGACCAAAGGCCTGAAGACCTTTACCAATGCTTGATGTCCTGTGTTGAAGATAATTTATTAACAACAGCAGGCGGAATAACTCATCACGGAATAACCCCAGAAGCTGATGAAGAGCTATCCCCCTCCCTCGAAAACTTTATTGTAGTTACCTGGCTCCAACTCCTCCACCCAGACCTTCCACGTTTGGTTAAGCAAAGGTACGGTACAGAGCACCGTTGCCGAACACTGGCCTCTATAAAGCCTGAGATATCTCAAGCCCTCGACTCTTTGTTAGAGGAACTACGCACCAGCGAAGAAGCCAAAGTTCTGCGCACAATCCATCCAAGCTTTGGAAGACCACCCCGCATCGACAACCGCCCACCTGCCTCCAACCGCCCATACCCCACAAAGAGCAAAACGATATACAAGCCTCGTTCAAATAAATCCTGTGCACTATGCCTCTAATTAAGCTGGCCGTCCGACTATCGCTCCCACTTTTTAAGTACCTGCCAATACCTGCCTGACTCAGATCGTCAGTTTATGGCCCGAGCACGCCATGTTACAGATATCGAAGATACCCAAGAGTATGAAGATAATCATCCCGATGACAATTATCCATCCCCTCAGAGTAATTGTGACTGCGATCATCCCATCAACCATCGCTCAGCTACCTGCCGTGTAAATATTACACAATCTCCATATCTCCACGTCTTCTACAATCAACACCCGCTTCGCCTTACTATTGATACTGGTGCAGAGACCAACATGATAAAGGCCTCCCTTGCCCATTACATCGGTTGCCCAATATCCAAGAGTTCACAACT